TAAGTTTCTCATTTAAAACCCATTGTTTATATTATAATGACATTTGTAATCCCTTTGTGGTGCATGAGATTTCATCCTTAACCCTCAGTCCTGGATAACAAGCTTGTTAGTATGCAACAATAAATTTTTGCTGGACTTGTGCAACAATAGACATGTCACTCTATAAAATTAGGCTTTCTTTGTTTGTGTATGATACCCTTAGGGAAGTTTTGTTCTGTGAGTGAAGCAGAGTTACCTTTTCTCCTGCCGACATTATTATTATTGTTGTTGTTATGAAAAGAATTCGGAATTCGGAATCGGCGGATCATTTATTTCTTCATTGTCCGGTGGCTCTTATTATGGCAGTGTCTTTTCGGGCTGTGATGATCAGTGGGTTGCTCCGAAGGAATGCACTAACATGCTTCTTGTTGGGTTTGAGGGTTCGGAGGCAATAAGAGAGCCAAATCTTTGTGGTCATGTATTGTTTTTGCTATCTTTTGGTCCTTATGGCTGGATAGAAATGCAAGGATCTCCGAAGGAAAGGAGTCAAATGCTGAAGCGCTATGGGATAGGACGGGATATTTGGCTTTGCTTTGGGCTTTTGTGTCTTGTCCTTTTATAGGAGTGCCATTTTTCTTGATTTCTAGGGATTGGGCTACTGTTTGCCATCCTTAGTGTTTTGGTTTTTCTTGTTTTGTGGCTTTTTGTTTTGACATTTTTCATTGTTCGAGGACTCCTTGTCCTCTCCTCCTTTCTGGCTTTTGCTTAATAATATTCTTCATCGCTTTTCAAAAATAAATTTGTTATGGAAAGAACATGACTCACAATTTTTCCCTTTGGTTGGCCAAATATTGCGTAAAAGTTTCTTCACTTTGAGATCCATGCTCTTTGACTTCTTTGTACCACGAATGTTGCTATAATTTGACTGCTGTACATATTGCACTTTCTTCTTCTTCTTATTTATTTTATTTTTTCAATTGAAGAACAAATTGTTTAAATGCAGAGTGGATCACTTGATATACTTCCATCTTGCAATGTGGGGCACACATAAATATAGTTTTGCACAATACAGAATCTTAGATTGTTTCGGGGTTCTTTGCATTCTAAATGTTTGTTTTTTGAATCCTATGATGCTTTTTGGTTGTGATTGATTTTTGTTATGTTTACTTGCTCATGCTTGGTACAGTCTATCGTTGAATTTTTTTATTTTTTTATAATCAGCCAGTCTATCGTCGAATGTGTCATTGCTCTGTTGCTTGTTGTCTGCTAATTTAATGAGATACATGAAGTTTTGTTTCAACAATTCGTGTTTGTGCATTTATTGCATTTTAGCTCTTGGTTTGAACGATATAGAAGCTAAATCCATTTACTTTGTTGCAGGGGATTGAAAAGAAAACCGCCAAGTTGCAGGGAAGTGAGAAGGCTGCAGTTGCACGACATGAAGCTGGTCATGCAGTAGTAGGGACTGCTGTGGCAAATCTTCTTCCTGGGCAGCCACGTGTTGAGGTAGCAATAGGACTCGATATAATATATTTAAACATTCTTGTTTTCTTCCTCTCTTTTTTTTCTATGCTTCTGTTGTGGTTGGGATGGGTAAGAAGTTTTATAATTGGCTATGTATTTATAGTAGTTGCCAACCAAGTTTGATAACTACGCATTAAGGAATTGGCAGAAGTTTGGTTTGGATCACTTAAAACAGGAATCCCAGCAATGGGATGTCCATATCCTCTGCCATAGGGAGAATTAAGTTTTAACTTTGATGCTCTTGGAAACTTGATCAATGGGTGATAGTATGCTTTTTTCTTTGTTCAGAAACTCAAAAGAGTACTCTTTTTTTTCTTCTTTTTTTTGTGGTTAAAACATAGAGTAAAATTATCCATACCTGTGGTGCAATATATCTTGATGCGGACTGGTACTTTAAACTATCTTCTCTGCTGCTTCAATTTGTATTATGCTAGCTTTTTTGTCTCAATTATGTTTTGTTTTTTACTGTATAATGTTGAGAACAAAAATGTTTCATATAAACTACCTGTTAGCTTTTGTGGTGCTCCCAAGGCTCTGAAAAGCGGTTGCGGTCGCCGTAACGGTGGCGGTGGCGCAATTGCGGTTACGGGGTGTAAAGGCTGTAGCGTAACGGTTGCGATAACCGAAACTGTGAATTTTTTTATTTTTCGCATAATTTGAAAAAAAACTTTCCGATACGCATATTTTTTTTTCCATGATCATATTTATTGGGTTTAAAATAAATATTGATCAATTTTTGTAAATTTTTAAGTATAATCCAATATATTTCATATTTTTAAATTACTATAAACTGAGTTTTTCACATTTTATTTTAATAATTAATGACTTTATATTATATAAAAAATAAATCACTAACTATTATATATAAGATAAAAAATGACAAAAGTAAGAGAATAAATAAAAGCCTATATATATATATACATATTTTAACCAAGTCAAATAGATAATGACCACACTTATTATTATTATTATTATTATTATTATTATTATTATTATTATCAAACAATATATAGATAGATACACACAAACAAAATGCTTGAGTGATAACAGATGAATAGAATAGTATAGGTCTTACAGTTTTAACAAATCAATAACATGTTCTTCATCTTCATCTTCCCTCTTCCTCTCTATCTCTTGCTCCTCCATGTTCTCTCTTTATCTTCCCTCTTCTCTCTATCCCTCTTCCTCCATTTTCAGTTTTTTTTTTTTGTGTGTTTTTTTCGAAAGAAGCAGTTCATAACCGTTACGTAACGGTGCGTAACAGGCTGTTACGGCTGTTACAGCACCGTTACGACCGCTACGACAGCCGCTACAGCCGACACACCTGTGAATCTCAATCACACTGTAAAAGCGGTCGTAACGGGTGGTGGTAACCACCACAACGTTACGTAACAGTTACGGCCGCTTTTTAAAACCTTGGGTGCTCCTATTATACTTTTCCCTCCCCCAATGGGGTTTGCATGGTTCATGTCCTGGTTTGGATGAGGTTTGTATGCCTTGAGACACAAACATGCGTGCAAGGCGCGCACACACAAACATATATAATTTTATACTATAAAGTGTATATGAGGAAATAATATGCAAATAATAGGAATTTTAGAAAGTTGTGTTATAAAGTGCAGGGTCAAAGTTCAGCACATGTCCTACATTGTATTTATACAAATGGGTGCTCACCAGATAGATGATCTAATGGTCAAATATATTTTTGTTTTATCAGAAGTTGAGTATACTGCCGAGGTCAGGAGGGGCATTGGGGTTTACTTACACTCCTCCCACCACTGAGGATAGATATTTGCTCTTTGTTGATGAGTTACATGGACGCTTGGTTACTCTTCTTGGAGGACGTGCAGCTGAAGAAGTTGTTTATGCAGGCCGTGTGTCAACAGGTGCACTTGATGATATACGGCGAGCAACAGACATGGCCTACAAGGCAGTGGCTGAGTATGGTCTTAATCAGACAATTGGCCCCATTTCTTTGGCAACACTTTCTAGTGGTGGGGCTGATGAATCTGGGGGAGCTATTCCTTGGGGAAGGGATCAGGTTGTCTTTGCCTTATCTGGTTAATGTTGTTGTCGGTTTATTTTATTTTATTTTTTTAACTTTATTTGGAGCAAGTATTGATCCATGCTGAACACAATAGGGGCATCTTGTCGACCTTGTTCAAAGTGAGGTTAAGGCATTGCTTCAGTCTGCCCTTGATGTGGCACTCTCTGTTGTGCGAGCTAATCCTACTGTTCTGGAGGGGCTTGGTGCACATTTGGAAGGTAATATGGAACTGCTGCTTAATTTAAATTTGTAGAACTTTGGTTCGTGTAGCTCCAGTAAATCGCAAAAAAAAAAAACAAAAACAAAAACAAAACAAAAAAAAAAAAACGCATTAAAAAAAAAAAAAAAAAAAAAAAAAAAAAACGCATTTTAAGCTTATTAAAAAAGCGCAAAAAAATAAATAAGTTGTGCTTTAAGTGTGCATTTGTAAATCTATTTTGCTTTAACTACTTAAAGCACTTTTGTTGTTGTGCTTTAAGAGTGCTTTAGTGCACTTTTACCAACAACACTGGAGATATAGCATCTTGATAACGTGGCATCTGAATTGCATGACATAGAGCATATGATATGATGGAGATGCTCCTCATAACATTCCTGCCCAAAATCGCCTGAGGGTTTTCTGTAAATGGTTTTTTTTTCTCAGAAAAAGAGAAAGTAGAGGGTGAAGAGCTGCAGGAGTGGTTGAAATTGGTGGTTGCTCCAGCAGAACTTAAATTCTTCATTAGTGGAAAGCAAGAGTTTCCTCTTCCACTGCAGACGGGTTCTGGGTAACATCTACTGCATGTTGTGGACTCATCAACCTCTGGTAAAAGTGCAGGTTTAAAATTCTGCATTCAACAGTGGCTTCATCATTTGTGAGTAAACCATGCCATTGTTACCTTATTGAGCACACCTCGTGATCAGCACTGACTCACCCTTGCGACTTTGTAAATTTCGGTAAGGTAATTTTGCGTTAATTTTAACATCTACATTCTTTTTCTTTGTTTATACTTTAATAACGGCTGAAATACATACAAACATGGGCAACAATCAAGGACTTAATGCTGTCAGAGCTTCCCGTGTTGTACCATCTTAACATCGAAAGGAAAAGGGCTGTTATATCTAGTTGTTGCATGTTGGTTTTTGCATTTTGTATATCTGGCTGTTATTTCGTTGTTTTTAATTTTTAATTTTTTTTTTAATGAATCTGTTATCATGTTATTTTGTACTGTACAATTTTTTTTCCTTTCTTTGTGGGATCATTTTCCCATGAGAGAATTATAGAATGTAACTTTGTTACTGTTGTACACATTATTATTCCTTGAATCAAATAAACATTCTACATGTTGGTTTAGATGTTTTTTGCAGACATAGTGCTATGTCTACTTTGTATTGCTGTAGTTAATAAAAATTCAGTTGGAAACATTGACGGTTGTGTGTTTGAGTATTGGGGTTATGACCTACAGCATCTGAGGCTGAAGTTTATAATATTAATTTTTTTTACAGATTTGTGCATAGGTTAGAAAAACTCATATTACATAACGAAGGCTTGTTCTTCGTTAATTTTATCTACACAGGCTTTGTCTGCGGTCACTTTTGCCATGAAAATAGGGTTGCCCTTTTTTATTACATACCTTACTGAAGGAAGTTATTGTACTAGTGATTCTAATTGAAGTTTCATTTGTGAGGCCTAAATGTATACTTATATGTGTGAACTTGTCACAGATGACCTGGTTTGAGTTAAATGTATACTTACTGAAATCAAGATTAAGGTACACAAGAATGAGAAAGACTTCTCAGCCCAATAATTGAGGGTTAACACAACATTAGGGGTTAGAGAAAGCAAGGCAGTTGAGCGTGTACCCAGTGCGGTATTATACATTTATTGCTTTTTGTTTGTTGATTGTAACCTAAAGTGATTCTTTTGCATTTTGTCACTCATCAGTGTGTTGATTGTTCAATAGCTGATGTGTTACTTTTTTTTAAGCCATGCCAAAATAAGTAGGGTTCAGATGATTCTGCAGATATAATGTGCTGATATTTTTGAAATGATTGCAAATATCAGAGTCACTTTATTAGAATGTACATATTATTTTTGTGGTATATCCAGGGATGGGAAAGAAGCAAAACACTTGATCTCGACAAATCTGTTATGGACCACATACAGCACAACTTGCACTTTGTTTTCTTGCGACTCTGCTTGTGACACATATTACCCAAGTGCAAGTTTCCTTTCCTTGGACATTGATAACACTATAATGCTTATTAAATTTCACTCTTTATGTGAAAGGCTCAACTACAAATTTAGGGGTTGTTTGGGGTGTCCTAAATAAGTGTACTTTTTATATTTTTGGACTAAAAAATTGAGGTTGAAAATATGGATGTTTGGGTTAACTTTTTGACTTTTTATGGAAAAATATGTAATAAAAAATTGTAAAAATTGATTTGTGGGGAAAAATTCGAATTGGGAGTTGTGCAGCCGTAATTGTTAACTTTTGGTGAATAGTGTTAACTTTTTAACTTTTTGAGTAACTTTTTGACTTTTTTACAAGTTCCTAAACTCGGCCTTATTTAACAAAAATGACCCCTGAAAATTTTGTATATTTTTTCCTAATTGGAATGAGCACATTCATATAGTCTCCATTATTGTGATCGTCTTCCTTGTATATTTATAATGGAGAGGTTCTATTATATCATCCAGAGTGTTATGATTTTTTTTAACTTAAAATAATTACAAATTTACTTTCTTATTTTATAGTCATTAGATATGTAATAAAAAAATTTCATTACATACATTGGAAAGGAGAAGATCAAAGTCCGAGGCGTTCATCTCACATTAGTATATGTGCCAAATCAACTTAAATGCAGAATAATTTTTTTAAAAAAAAAAAAAAATACCCGTAACAAGAAGAATTTGAAACTTCAACTTTGGTAGAACAATCGAATGCTTAGTCTAATGGATGAGGTTTAATTAATTACCGCAGTAATGTTAAAATAAATCTGTTACAATTATTAAGATTAATTGAATTGAGGAAAGAAAAAAAATAATAATTAGTGTGTTTGGTTTTAATTTCCTGAATTCAATTTTTTGAAAATTGGCTTTTTATTTTTTGTATTTTTTTTTTAATTTTTAGTGAATATTTTTAAAATTTTAAGTATTTTTATTACTTTTTTAAATGCACCTTACTTAGATTTATATAAATAGTAAAATTTTTGTGAAAAAATATTTTAAAAAATTAATAAATACATAAAAATATGAAAAATATATTGAATTTTTGTATTTTTTAAAAATATTTTTGGTATTTAATGAATTTTTTTTTAAAAAAATTCATAAATATTATAATTTTTAAGTATATTTATGTTTGATGTGTTTACAAATTAAAAAAATTGCTAAAAATATTAAAAAAAATCAATAAAAACAAAAAAAAATACAAAAAATGAAAAAGTAAAATTTTTTAAAAAGTGAATTTTAAAAATGAAAACCAAACAGACCCAACCATCCATTAACGGAACCGTCGTCAACCAACGTTTTAGGGGCTTTATTAACAAAATTACATTTAAAAAAATTATTTGAATCAGGAGATTTCTACAACTGAATTATTTATTTATTTTTTAAAGAGTGGTGTTATTATCATCTCATAAATTATTTTGGACCCTCTATTTGTTTGGGCTTCCATTTATAAATTTTGAAACCCTCAAAATTTTTTTCCCCCAGAAATAATACCAAAATTATTCTTGTGAAAACATATTACTCATTGAATGCACACATCCCACACCAAAAAAAAAAACCTCTTTCAAAAAATCTTAACAAAACCTACTGAAAAGAAGAAGAGCTAATATGATTACTGTCTTTGCTATTTCATCTACCATTATCACAGTTGTTATGCTCTCTCTCGCTATCTCCCTCTCTTTGTGTATATATATATAATTTCTTAGTTTTCTCGTAATAATTCTTCTTTTATAAGAAAAAAATTATATTAATTGGTTTGGTTGGTAGATATTATAAAATTTTGAGTTCAGCAGAAAATTACGCAGCAATATTATCAAAGCTACGCGATGAAAGAATAATTTTTGAACCTGATAATGGATTTTGGCTACTTCCGATAACTTATACAAGTATTAAAAATTTTGACCATTCAATGTGTTAAAGAATTTTCATATTCGGATCTACATTTCCGAACATTACTTATTTGTTTGGGAATCTCAAACAAATAAGTAATGTTTGGGCCTGTATTCCCGAACTCGAAAAAATGAAAATTTCTACAAGCGTTAACAATTTAGACTGTTCAATGTGTTAAGAAATTTTCATGTTCGGACCTTCATTCCCGAACATTACTTATTTGTTCAGGAATGCTTTCTCGAACAAATAAGTAATGTTTGAGTCTGTATTTTCGAATTTGAAAAAATGAAAACTTCTGTGAGCGTTAACAATTTTAACCATTTAATGTATTAAGAAATTTCCATGTTCTTAGTTGCCAGCCTTGATGGCTAGAGGCTCCTCCCCTCTCCCCCATGGTGTATAAAAGGAGGCCCTATTCCTTGAAAAAAAAAATAGATACAATTTTTTCTTGGCATCCATACCCTGTCAGTCTACTTCTCTTATAATTTTCTTCCTGAGAGAGAGTGCTACCGTTGTCAGTTCGCTAAGCTAATCCGAAGGTGCTTTTGTTGTAGCTGGTAAAAACCATCGTATCCTGGGAAGTAAACGCCGGCATACCTCCAGCATCCAACGGTGAGGCGGCGAATCTATTTTAAGGAGACTGTGGTATCACACAGGCTTCGGTTTGCTTCATTTACCCATTTTATATTTTATCTGTATTTTATTCAGTATGTTATATTTTCTGGGATTGGAGGTTTGTTTTGTTTATCTCATAATTTTGCGATATGTAATGTGAAATTATGTAATATGAGTAGTTTTTTCCAACAAACAATGGATGAAGAAATGCTAGTGAAGAACCATAAAAAAAGTGAAATTGTGAGTTTTTTTTTATTTGTTTTGCAAGTTTTCATTTTGTTTTTTTGAGAGAGTTCTTTGACTTTTGTTCGGTATGTCAAAATCGAACAAAATGAAATAGTCCAAAATCACATTGCCAAATAAAAAATATATGCCCGGTAACTCAATGTCAAATAAAAGATACATTTTCAGTAACCCAAAGTCAAACGTTTTTAATTTGTTCGACTGTACATTTCCAATTTTTTATTTTTTATTTTTATTTTGAAGGATTATGCTTCTACTTATTGCAGAAATGTAAGTTGACATGTCAAAGAGTATAGTGCGGTCAAAAGAGATATTGATTACATTGAAACGAATAGATGCCTTTAATGCAACAACAATGAAAATAATTTACAACGCACGTAAAGCGACAAGTGGCTGGACAAATTTATTTTAGTTTGGCAATATGACACTAGAGTAATCTATTTTGTATAGCATTATATCACCAAACAGACACTTCACAAATGGGCTCCAACTAATTTCTTTGTTAAAGTAAAGTAAAAATCATCCAATCGAATGAAAACAAATGGCTGGAAAAATTAGTTTGTCTAGTAACACGGCACTAGAGCAATTTAAATTCTTTAACATTGTATTACCAAAAACTATTGGTGTAAAGAGACAAAACTAAAAGGGCATTGAAGACTTTTTAGTTTATGGTTAGTTTTGGTACTATAATGGGTTTAATGAAAATCACATTTTTTTTAGTGGTGTAATAAGATGGAGGGTATAAAGAGATAAACTAATGATATAAGTAGAATCACTTATTTTGAAACAATTCCATGGGATGGTATTGGAGGTTTATATCCTCAGTTTACAAAAATAACAAAGTTACATTTTGTATATTAAGAAGTTTTATATTAATTCATTAATTTTATTCGAACAAACTAATACAACCATACTATTGCACAAATAAATACAATTTATTTTATATTTCTAATATAATACTATTACACTAATAATTCCATTAAACTTAATCCAAACCTCAGTTGTTGTTTTGTTTTTATTTTTTTGTTTTTTTCAACTCTAGCTAATATCTAGGGCTGCAAACGAGCCGAGCCGAGTCGAGCTGAGCTTTAGTGTGTTTGAGCTTGTTTATTAAGATTTTAACGAGCTCGAGCTGAATAAAAATTTAACGAACCGAGCTCGAGCCGAGTTGGCTTAGGCTCGACTCGAGCTCGAGCTCGAGCTTGTTCATGAACCTTAACGAGCCAAAAAATTTATAAATTCATACTTGCATGTAAGACTAAAGTTACAATTAAAACTTTGATTATACAATTATATATACAATATATATAAACATAACTAAAAAAAAGTTCATATTTTACTAAAATAATAATATCTACTACCACTATTATATAAAT